TAGTTTGAGGAACACAAAACAAAACAAACCAGGGGGCAGTGGGCATGCCTTTAATCCCAGCACTCAGGAGGCAGAGGCAGGCAGATCTGAGTGGAGGCCAGTCTGGTCTACAAGAGTCCCAGGTCAGCTAGGGCTACACAGAGAAACCCTGGGGCCCATGGGAGTGGGGAGGATGGGGACGGACAGGACAGAAGAAGATCATTTGAGACAAACACACACATACAATCCAGTGCCTGCAAATTACCAAACAACAAACAACTAACTAGAAAGTATGGAAAACAGCAAAACTATAAATAAGAAAGATAGGGGGCTGGAGAGATGGCTCAGAGGTTAAGAGCATTGCCTGCTCTTCCAAAGGTCCTGAGTTCAATTCCCAGCAACCACATGGTGGCTCACAACCATCTGTAATGAGGTCTGGTGCCCTCTTCTGGCCTGCAGCCATACACGCAAAACAGAATATTGTATACATAATAAATGAATAAATAAACATTTCAAATAAATAAATAAATAAGAAAGATACCCTCAAAACAGTAAATTTGTCCTCTTCAGGTAACAATTTGGAGTAAGGCTATGCAAGATGAAGAAAATGAAGCAAGCAAGAACCATATTAAATATAAAACCAAAAGCTGAGCAGTGACTAGGAACAGAAGACCTGGATAATTCATAATTGGGACAATAGAGGATTAAGGAAATTACTACACCAACCGAATAAATAACATCTTGAAAACAATTCAAAATACCAAAGAGAATTTCTTCCTGCAATTCGAGACTGTAAAATCAACTATCAATAACTGAGAAAAATAAAGGTCATTTAAAGAGAACGGAAGAAGGTTGGAGAGATGGCTCAGAGGTTAAAGTGCCCGCTGTGCAAGCACTAAGTTTGGATCCCCAGGACCCACAGAAATGACCACACGGGCATGGCAGTCCTCGTCTAACAAGTCCATCCCTGAAAGTGTTACAAGGAAGCTCCAGAACAAGCTAGCTGTTCAGATATCTCCAAACCAGTCTATCAGTGAGATCTGGGTTTGACTGGAAGACAGATAGTGGATGAGCCTCAATATAATCTTGAGGCCTCCACATGCACCCCACACACATGCAAGCATGCATACACACATACATACTACACGTGTGAAAATGGAAAGAAAAAAGGAATGGAAGAGTTTTGCTCTACCTAATACAGATTAGTATAAAAATAGTTAAATGCAGAATACAAACAACTATACAAATCAGCAATGCAAAAGGCAATAAATTTGGTTATAAAAAGTTTGAAATTAACAATAAAGCCAGCTACTTGGGGAAAAAAAAAAGTCTCCTTAAAGTCCCATAATGGCAGAAGTATCAGATCCTTAATTAGAGTACTTTTTTTTTTTTTTTTTGAGACAGGTTTTCTCTGTAGCTTTTTGGTTCCTATCCTGAAACTAGCTCTTCCAGACCAGGCTGGCCTCGAACTCACAGAGATCCGCCTCCCTCTGCCCCCCAAGTGCTGGGATTAAAGGCGTGCGCCACCACCACCCGGCTAATTAGAGTACTTTTAATGTATATTAAAAAACATTCAGAACTCATAAATGCACTCAGCAAAACAACAAGCCACATCTGACAATGTCTCCCCTACTTGCAGAGGGGTTATGTCATGTAACTGTAATCCGTAAACAGCATTTAAATATTAGCTTATAACCAACTACATATTGAGTAAAAATCTTTCCTATAATACCAAAATTAAAAACCACTAACAACAAAAGTAATAAAAAGAGAAAACATTTATCATCATCTATTTAACATCTATCAGCAAAATAGCCAAAGATTTGCTATCTTTACTACAAGGGATACAATCAAGAGCATCCACAAATAAGCCAGACCTCAGCTGTTCAGTAAATTGTTAGTTCTTCAGAGGGCAAGGTAACTGTTCTATGAATGAACTGGCTCTAAGTTCACACAGATGTGTGCATCAAACTGTTACTGGATGCAGGGCTTTTGTTTACCATGGCAAAACCTTCAGTACCGCCCAGTGAGTTATACATTACATTATGACACATCCATACAGTGAAATACATACTACATAGCTACTGAGAAAACAAAACAGAGCCACTTGTATGGACAAGGAGCTATTTGGTAACAGATTAACAATGCTTTTCTCCAAGGAAACAGAATTATAGAATTTCTTATTGGCTCCAGGAAGAAGAAAGAAGAAAGTTAGTTTCCAATCAAAAAATTAAAAGCTTATAAAAAATTTACAAGAGAAAAAATCCAAACAATGGCATTTGAATCTGTTATTAGTCCAGCATGCCCTAAGTTACAGTGTTTACTCCTTTCATTATAAAAGGCCCATCCCCACTTACATTAGCTGGTTGCTCTCAACAGGAACATCTGTGTCTTCACTGAGTTCCAAGCTATTACGCCTGTAGGTCGAACCAACACTCAATCCATGAATTAATAATAATGAGGTAGAAAGAATTTTCTTCCTCACATTGCCAAGGAAACCTCTCAGCCACAATTGAAACACAGGACGTGTTTTTAAAACATCTTTAAAACATCTCCCAACTCCTGGAAGATCAAGTCCATTTGCATAACCTCTGTCAGACTGGAGACAGCTAGCATTAGTTATCTCCTCAAAAACAAAATGTTCATTTAAAGATGAACTTGAGAGTCAAAGAATAATAATAATAAAAAAAGAATCCATCTTCCATAGCTGAGCAATACAATTAAAAAATAAAAAGATGAAAAAAATTAAAAAACGAAAAAACAAAAAGCAAAAGCAAAAAAACACCACCAAAATTCAATAAGATCCAATTTCAGGTCTTCAAGATTTCTTCACCTATTAAGAAAAAAAACAGAAACCTTCCCCCATCTTTATTATCTGTATAATAAAAGCATACTGTATGTAAAAATATAAAGTGTTTTATGTATATAATATGCACATACATATATATTAACAGGCTTATACACACACACGTACAGAAATAAAACATTTGGGTAATTATCCTTTTAAAATATAAAAGCCTTCAGATTTGGGTTCATTACAAAAATAGTGAACTTACTCTTATATCAAAGTACCATGAAGCTAATGCTAATGAATTTTACCCAGCCACAAAATCAAGATGAAAAGAAATCCATATATATGGATACACTGATATTTATGTCAATGTCTATGATATGTATTAACAATCATTATCAGGGAGTGTTTAACCAAAAAAGGTAGAAGCAAATAGTTACAGAGTAACTACAAAGTGGGGCAGCCAGCTGAAGAAGGCAGAGCAGCATTATAGCCATCCCCAACCAGCTCAGGCAAAACACAGACGCTAAAGGAAGCTACTTCTCCTCCTTTAGAACAAGACAAGCATCACTGGCATGGCATTCAATGCTGGCCCTGCAAGGGCTTGTTGATACACTAGTTCCAAATTCTTTACTATTGATGGTTATAGCTAAAGATGTCACTCCAGTTGGTAAAGGGGTAAATTTGGGGAAGATGAAATTTCACTTCACAATGAGTGGTACATTCACCATTTAAGAATTTAAAAATTAAAAAAAAAAAGTTACTTCAATACACAGAAATGAGTTTTAAAACCAGCCCAGTAACAAAGCCATTTTGATTCTTATGTAATAAATACTACATACTTTCTAGGCTAAATCTTGCCAAATACTATCCAAGACAAAACTAAAATCAAGACTTTAAAAAAAAAGTGGACACCTTTTACTCACACTTAATACTAGTCAATTTTCCAGGAATTTTTTGGGCAGGGAATATCCCCAAATCTAAAATGAAAAAAAGGAAAAATTGGGATCTCACATTAGTTATTCAGTCTGAAACGTCTAACAGACTTAATAAAAGTCATTATTTTCTGGCCTGCCACTCAGTCACAGAAACAGACTCAGAGTGGAAAGGAACCAGTAGGGCCACTGAGATTAGTTCACTCATTTCAACAACGCTGCCTAACACAGTAAAATATAACTGTTTAGTTCAGTTAATATAGTGGCCCAAACTTCAGTTAGGAATACTATGCTATGGACCATAAAGTACCCTCTAAAAAAAAAAATGAACAAACTATAGAAGTATTCTCTGGTAAACTCATACTGGGTTTGCTATTTTCATGGGATTTGCATTCTAAATACCAATTGATTTTTTTCAAATAACATTTAATGGTTTTTACTAATAGGTTATACAAAGACACCTATATAATCCCTTTTTCTGTACTATATCACAAAACTAAAAAAGTCATTTTTATCTAGTTGTTTTGTAATCTTTCCCTTTCATACAGACTTAGTCCTAAATATCAAGGGCAATTTTATCTTATCCAGTCATTTGACACTATAAATGGACCAGTATGAGGTAATTATGAATTTCCAAAGATGAAATAATTTTGTGGGTTTATTCTGTTAAGCTGTATCAGGGTTTTAAAGAAATCAAAAAAATAAGGAAGGGAAAAAATATGTTAGTGCAGCCACTAACACATTCTAAACGCCTTTGTGCTCACAGAAGTCCTGAATCACTATATTTAAACAAATCACTGATTTCAGAGTAATCAAACCTCCATGTTGGAAGAAATGTTTACTCAAATCGTTCAGTCTACCAACCAGATACACCTAAGCCCTTCAGAGCTGCACTGTATTTTCTCATTAACACTCTTTTCTCGTTCAACTGGTATGACACTTTGATAGATGTTAGCTACACTGAGTTACAACTGTGGAATCTTCAAAGTTAATCTTCATTTTATCATCATCATATTGCCTCTGCCGACTTTTCAGCCTTTTTGTACTTTTAGATTTCCCCAGGTTTTAAATTTTTGTAAGACAGGATCTTAAGATGTTGGCCCGGCTGGTCTCAAACTCATGTGGTAAAGTTATAACCCAGCCTCACCATCTCAAATAGCCAGGAATACAGGCACCCATGACCACACCCCAGCTGTTTTTTTAAAAGAATAGTATGACTACATATAATAACAATAGCAATAAGATATAGTTATATAGCAAAAGCTGCTTATTTTAAGTAGAAAAAGAAAGAAGAAATTAAGGTAATATTTCTTTTTCATTGTTCTGAACAGCCTTATTTTCAGGGTTGCAGCTCAGAATCAATGTAGAATAGTCATAGTTAACATTCTCCAAGTTCATTTTCAGAAATATCAGCTGTTCTATATTATCAAAGTCCATGTTCATCATCTGCTTTGGATGAAAGTGGCTGTTTGTGGTAAACATGCACTCAGATTGCCAACTACACATGGGGCAGCTCAGATACTGAATGGCAACTTGGGTTAAAGCTGGCCATATGCTCACCTTCCTCTGCCAGTAAACCAAAGGGTCATCACCTCCTGAGAGCTCTGAATACTTCTCTTTGAAGTATTCATCCACTACTGCTACAGCACAGGGGAACAAGAAGCTTTTGCTTCCAATAGCAGCACTGTCTGTGGCTGAGCTATCCATAGAACCTGAATTGGAGGTGCCTTCTTTTATAGAAGCAAATGAATCAGTTCCTAATCTAACTAAAGAGCCGGGAGCTTCCGAGGTTGCAATTTGGTAGGCCCCGGGCGAAGATTCCATATAATTACAAACCTCTTCTGCAAGGATCTGTTTGTAAGTTTCTAAATCAGCACCTTGAGGGAAAAAGTCTTCCAAACTGTTCTTAAAACAAGGATCTAACAAAGTAGCCAAGATACAATGCTTGGATTTGAGCATGGCACTTAGTAGGGCATCAGTTTCAAGTTTCAAAGATAAACTGTCCACCAGATTGAGAGCCTGAGTAATACCTCTGACTTGAAAGTCTTCTCTGAGCCTCTGCAGGGAAAAGAGGAGATGATGGATTAGGGGTAGCACCTGATTCAATCCCGTGGTCTTTACACTCACTTTCTGGGTGGCCTCTTCAAATGGCTTAAGAATATCACAAACGTATGTCATTAGAGTCCATTGAAGGGAGGTAAGCACAACTCCACTGGCTCTACCCAGACTGTGGTGAACAGAGTAGCAATGCTCTAAAAGCCATTTTAACATATAAAAAGTAGAAATCCAGTGGCCAGTTTCATCCTGCTTCAGATTCTTCCATGGAAGCTGGTTATCATTTTGGAACTCTTGTAGTATCTGGCGGGCTTTGACTGAATGGCTAAAATGATGACAGGTTTTTCTGGCAGCCACTAACATATTCTCAATGCTTTTGTGCTCACAGAAGAAGTCCTGAATCACTATATTTAAACAATGCAGGAAGCATGGCACATGGGTAAAACCACCACTTTTGATTGCATGTACCACATTAGAGGAATTGTCAGAAACAATGAAGCTAGGGATAAGGAAATTAGGAGAAAGCCACAGACCAATCTGGTCATTTAATTCTTGTAAAATGTTAGTTATCAAACAGTCTTTGGCTAATCCTGTAACACAAAGTACTGCCCACTTTCTAAAATTGGGGGTCCTACCACTACTCGGGGAAGATGCAGTTTCCAAAGAGACCCAATGCACAGTCACAACGAAATAGTCAGTGGAAGGGTCATGGGTCCATATGTCAACAGTCAAGTGGATCTTTTGGCTTTGAACATTCTCTAAAGTTAAGAAAATTTGTTCTCTAACAGAATCATATAACTGAGGTACAGCTTTGGTGAAAAAGTAAGTCTCCGAGGGCAACCTATAGTCAGGAGCAACAATCCGTAGGAACCTCTGAAAAGCTGGGGTTGAGAAATAGCTGTAAGGATGCATATCTTCCACAATCATCTGAATAACTGCCTGGCTTATCTGACTGGAAGCTGCATTTTCACAAGGTGCTGGTGTTTCTCTCTCTTGTGCACACACCAGATTACCTTGCTCAGCAACAGGAACAGGACTCTCAGATCTATTTTCAACTTCTAAAACAGGAGGTTCATCAGTATCAGAGTCACTAAGGTCCTCAGCTGTTAAATCCTGGCTGCCTGATGACTTCTCTCCATGCAAAGTATCATTCAAGAGATCGCTGCTCTCAGTCTCAGTCTCATCTAATCCGTTTCCAATAGCACCATTGTCTTTGTTGGCAACTGCCCAATGGATGGGATGTGTGGCCTGAAGGTGTCGTTGAAGTGTTGATGTTCCTAAGTGGGAACCTGGCCTACCCCGGCTCACACTTCTTTTACATATGTTACACACAGCTCTTGAGATGTGCTGAGGATCAGTATAAAAAAAATTCCAAACTGCAGATGTCTTGGCTCTGGTTCCAGGAATTAAGGCATGCTTGACAATGTTGCTTTTGATGAGAAATCTCCCTCTTTTTGCCCTCAGGGCGTCAGATGCTGATTTATCACGTTTCTTACCCATTCTGTTTTCATCTAATGAATCAGTAGGAATATACTCAAAGCTTCCATTGCTTTCAGGAGAAGAAGGAGATAAAGACAAATCCAAGGTAAAGTCCTCCTCCCCATTAGTGACTCCATACTTGTTGGCCCTGGTCCAGTGAGGAGAATGCCTTGCCTGCAGATGTCGTTGGAGAGTAGACGTACCAAGATGGCTGCCTGGCTTACCCCTGCTGACACTTTTCTCACACAGGTTACAAATAGCTCTCCAGGTGTACTGGGGGTCAACATGAAAGAAGTGCCATACAATGGAGGTCTTGGCTCTGGTACTAGGTAGATAAATTTGCTTTTCTATATTGCTCTCAAAAAGACTTTCTTCATCTTGCTCAGGGGCGCTGGAAGCTACCAAAGCAGGGGCATCTGCAACAGGTCTTCCAGACCCCAAATCTTTACTAAACTTTTTGGCAAGGATCAGTTTTTTTCGGCGCCTTTTCCCCTTAAGTCGCAAGCCCTTCTTTCTTTTCTTCTTAGCAGGCAATTCTGTCTCTTTAGTCACTCCTTCGGCCACCATTTTTCCCTCTACCACATCATCTTCTGGATTCGAATTAATGGAAACACATCCCAGAATCCCAGCATCACTAAAAGTACTGCATCTTCTGCCAGGAGAAATCGAGGAAACTGGGCCACTTAAAGTACATACACTCATTCTCTGTATCTCCAAAATCTGTACCAGAACCTTTCCGTGGGTTCACGACTCCGGCAAACACACAGCTGGCCCTCTCCACTTGCATTACCTTTCCTCCAGTTTCTATGGAGAGTCAAATTCCCTTTCAACCAATGACTTCCAAGCCAGGTTATTTTTGGAGGAAAAATGGCAGCAATGGAGAACATTCCCAAACTCTGTCTTGCAAGGCTTTAGTAGAGTCCTTTAAACTTTCTGAATTCAAATAGTCCAGTGTCCTCATGTTATAGAAAAAACAACTGAGGCCCATTTTCCCACAGTCATGGAATCTGGAGCAGCTAAGGGGCAAGTCTTCCAAATCGAAGGTTCATTTTAAAGCTGCTGTATCAAGAACTTCATCCTGCTGAAAACGCCTTCAGTTTTTAAAATATGTACTTTTAATGAACCCACATGGCAACATCACTTATTTTCCATTAATGTGGGGATTGCTTTCAGGAATTTCTCTTAAACATAGCGCATCATTCAACAGTCCTCATTTCGGACTGTGATTTGCCAATACAACCCGAAAAGTCAATTCTGGACAGCTAAATCAGACTCCACACAGTGGTCATTAGCAGTGAACGCTAGCTGTGTGCCCTTCCTGTTCTGACATTCTGAAATATGTAGGTGGCTGAAAAAAAATTATCTGGAAAAATTTTAAAACAAGGTAACAAACTATAATTTTCATTTACAGCTTCTATCAAGAGTTCATATTTTCAGACTGAAGCAAAGCGTTACAGCCTGTTCGCAACTCACAATCGGACCTTCTATGAGGAACAGAACTTAAGAGAGCTTTAAACCACTTCCATTCCTTTTCCGTGGACTCCCCCCCCCTCCCCTGCCCCCAATACCAACACGTTTACCCTACGAAAGCATGGCTATCACTAGCTCCACAGCCGCCTTCTCGGGGTTCAGAACCAAAGCCTGGGAGATGTCAACAAAACGAGCCTTCCCCATAGGGATCCGCACCGATTATGGGCGTCTAAGGGGTGTTCTTCATTACGGTCTCACCAATCCTACAAGAACGAAGAGTCCCTGTAGCTCTTGACTTCGAAGATGAGGGCTGGGGCGGGAGAGTAATCAGGGTGGGGAATGGCTACAGGACACCAGAGATCGACTATGTAAGTGGAATATGAGAAAAATCTCCAAAGTAATAGGAGCCTAGAGAGGAATGAGAGTAGGTAAACTCGGGTCCAGGCACTCGCTCTGATTTAGGGAGTGAAAACCGGCTAACTAAAAAAACTGATGCTGGGAAGAAAGCAACCTAGTAGTCTGTTCCCGCTCAGGGGGTCCGAAACAGTCACTCTACTGGGACTACCCGGGAATCCCGGTTCGGGAACACCGGATGTGGGGGGAGGGGAAGAGGTTGGTAAGAGAGCAGGCGCCGTGGGGGTGGGGCGGAGCGGGTGGGGGTGGGGGTGGGGAGGGTGGGAAAGTGAGCTGGAGTCTGGCTAGGAGCCTGGCGGGCCAGGGCCGCGGGCTGGAGCCCCGGTGGCTGCCGCGCTGACGGGCCCAGCTCGGACTTCCCGGGCTAGGCCGAAACTCGGGCGAGGGGAGGCCGCTGCCACTCCCCTCGCCCTCTCCTCACCCCCCAGGCCCCAAGTCACCCGGGAATCAAAAAACGGGTCTAGTTACCAGAGAACAGAAACTTTACCGAACCGATGACACTGTCTCCGGTTCCCGCGTGCTGCCACGTCTTTCTCTTTCCTTAGCCGCGGCCGCCCGCCGTCCTCACAGCAGCAGAACAAGCAGAAACCTAAGACTGCCAGCGTCAAAGATGGCGCCCGGCTACAGGCTGGGCTCTAAGGCTGGGCCAGTAAAAGTGCCAGCGCGACGCAAAGCGCAGGCATTCTGGGAGTTGTAGTTTCCTCTATGAGGCGAGCCTTAAGATGGCTTCTTGGGTCATAGGGTCGTGGCGCTAGGGAGGCAAGTGGACGTGACTATTTCTCTGGACCCTGGTGCTTCTCAGAAAATTACTCTTCACAAAAGTATTTGTTTTATTGTAAAAAATCGCAGTAGATAATTAAGAAAACTTGTTTTTAACCTAAGTTTGTATAATGACTAACTCGTCCAAACTTGACATAAATTTAACTAAGGAACTGGAGAGATGGCTCAGAGGTTAAAAACACTGACTGCTCTTCCAGAGGTCCTGAGTTCAATTCCCAGCAACTACTTGATGGCTCACAGCCATCTATAATGAGATCTGGTGCCCTCTTCTAGCATTGTATACATATAAATAAATCTTAAATTTTAAATTAAATAAATAAATTTAATTAAAAATCAGGGTTAAATCGGGCTTTTGTGGCACATGCCTCGGGAGGCAGAGGCAGGCGAATCTCTGTAAATTTGAGGCCAGCCTGATCTACAGAGCTGAGTTCCAGGACAGCCAAGGAGAAAGAGAGAGGGAGGGAGGGA